TAGCTTGCTGGTTTCCACCAGACTTAAACATCTGCAACTGTGTCTCCAGTTCACAGTCAAGAAAAAATTCAAAGGGTTAAAGTGTGAATGTTTTAGCCCCCTCGTTATTAAAGTCTCACCTGCTTTCAAAGTTTCACTTAAGAATCCCCATTCAGATATTTTATATATTTAGAAATAAATGACCTTGGGTGAACTCAAGTGACTTAACTGGTGACTACACTGGTATACCTTTTGGAATTGTCACACATTTGAAAGTAATAACAACAGGTTACATTTATTATAAACCCCGAAGTTGGCACCTCCAGCCAAATGGTCAACCCCTGTGCAGAGGCTATTTATGCAAACAACATCTTGACCAGGGGCATCTGGCTGACTAGTCTCAGCCCCTAATTGTGTTTTCTGCTGTCCTATGGAGTGGTCATGGAACGATGGCTGAACAAGGAGCCCTACCGGTTCCAACCATCTTAAAACCCAGCATCAACACCTAATAGTTTCATCTTATCAGCTGGCAGGTGGCCGTGCTAGAGAAATGCTTACCTACAAAGTCCTAACTCCGCTCATTTTTTTCACACACAAGCGAGAGCCACACAGTCTCAGGGCTGCGATGCCTGGGACCTCGGTGCATCCTTCAAGCAGCTCTTTCTAGCACTGTGTGGTCTCTGCACAGGGGTTGACCAGTTGGCTGGAGGCGTCGCCTTCGGGGCTTATAACAAGCATAACTGGTTGTTATTACTACATATGCTGAAGCCTGGCTTAGGAAATGGGTTGAATTCAGGAACATTCAGCCACTGTGCTTACTTTGTGTGATAATAGCTGTGCCTCACTGAACAGCTGTGTGGCAGGTTTTCAACTCTGTGTTATTGTCGATGTCTCCGTATGTGTTTAAATTTCACAGCAACACTTCGAGGTTAGTATTATTTTCCTCATAACACAGCCACAAAAACTGAGGCTCAAGCAGGTTAAGTACCTTAGTCAAAGTCACACAGCTGGGCCGTGGTAGGGCCTGGTTAAGACCAGGACTGATTCCAAAGCTTTTCACAAAGCTGTCCCTGCCAAGGACAGGAAATCAAGTAAAGTGTCTTTGATTTGGAAGGTAAAAGTTTCTATCTTAACATTTTAAAAATGTCTTATATCAGGTAAACATAATCAACATCAAGGCCTGGTAGGCCTAATAATAACATCCAGAGTGTTAAGGGTGAAAGATGTATTCATTCAACAAAAGACAAAAAAGTCTCCTATGTTCCTTTTGATCATCAAAAACAAATAAGCTGTTTTTCATCCAGAGCCTCACTGATGTCCCAGAGGAAAAACATGCTGATGACAACCACTTCTTAAAAGCAACGGTGAGAGGGGCAGTGCAAAATATTTTTCTGATAGAAAACAGGAAAATCTAATGAGATAAAATAAAATAAACCACTCCTCATCTAACCATCCAGCTATAGCTGTTATTTTTCTCTGTTTTACTTTTTTTTCATCAGGCTATCGACTCAGCTTTGGTTCCAGGTCTTTTAAAAAAGCAGTATTATATAAGAAGCATTTCCTCAGCCGTTAAATATTCACAGAAAACAAATTTTAGTGGCTATCAATCAAGGGTTGACAAACTTTGTCTATAACACGTCAGACAGCACCTGTTGTAGGCTTTGAACCATATGTGTCGTCTCTGTCACAACTACTGAACGCAGCTGTTGCAGCATGAAAGCAGCCATAGGCAATGTGTACACGAAAGACTCATGGTGTTGCAATAAAACTTTATTTAAACACAGGTGGTGGGGCAGATGTGGCCCAAGGGCCCTAGTTTGCTGACCCTGCTCGATAGTATTGTATTGTGCACTGGACGGCATATCGTACATACTATGATTCATCAAACTCTTCTCCTGTGGGCCATGTCAGTGGTTTTCAGAGATCTAATACAGAAAAAGGGATGGACGTGTAGACCTTGAGGTCACCACCTCCTTGCATCTATACTTACAGTCCTCATCACGGCCAGAGTTGCCATTTCCTGTTAGCAGGTCATCAAAGGCCAACCACTAAGACCCACTTGGCTTTGTGGGATGGAGTAATTAAGGAGACATACCCGAGAGTACTCTTCCCACCAGACAGTGTGGCTGATGGCCTGGGCCACTCACCTCCCAGACCCACAGGCTGTGACTCAGCATATGGTCCTCTCTTGGCTGGGGAGCAGATTATCATTTATATCTTTCATATTGCCGCAAATCATTTTTGGAATGAGTTCAGGTATATGTCATTTTTTTTATTGGGGTATTGGGGGGATGGGAACAGTGCTGGGGAATTGGGGGAAGGGGAACAGACAAGTTGCTGTCGTTTTGTTCTTCAGTCTAGTTGTGGAGGACGTTGCTTCACTGGCCCAAGTTGGCACCATCATTGCGCTCTTCCCGGGCGAGGCAGATCAGTCGCCGGCTTCTGGACGGCCGCTCACTGCGGCTGCTGGCCGCTCACGCTGGCTGCTGGCTACATACGGTAGCCCATGGCAACCCACTGCCACAGGGGCTGCAGCCTACGCCGTCGCCGGCGACTCACAGCAGCCCAGCTCCAGGTTGAGCTGTTGTTCAGCATCTTAGCTGTAGAGGGCAGTGTCACTGGCCCTCATATGTGGGATCCGAACCGGGGCCCTCTGGCGTCCCAAGCCAGCTCTTAACCATCGCGCCACTCGGACGGCCCTATGTCATTTTTTTAAAGTAGTCTTAACCTATCAAGAAGAGACGTTTAGTTCATTAGTAAAGAGGTTTTGTTATGTTTTCATCTTAATGGCTGTAAGTTGAGAGGTGACAGAAATGAAGGAAGCAAGGGCTCAAGGAGGACACCCCGGCTGACAGAGCAGGAGGCCTGAGGGGCGGGGGAGGGGGTCTCCCACGGCCAGAAACCCCAGTGGACACACAGTGGATGGGCTTTGAAGTGGCTTCTGTAGGGAGAGTGGTGTTTCGCGAGGCAGTGTTTTCTTGCTTTGCGTGGCAGGCATTTCCCTCTCACTTAGGGCACAAGAAAGCAGGAGTCACGATAATTAGTTCACCTTCTCAGGACTTGAAAGTAACCCCATGTTGAAAGAGAAAAGCTGAAGATAGGAAGGATTTTTCCCAGTAACGTGCTGGACTTCACAGCACTTCTTCAGGCCCCGGTCAGCTCGGGACTTCCAGGGACCTTGCTTCCAGTGGCTCCAGCCAGGAAGACGTTCCTTACTCAAGGGATGGCCAGGCTGCCGCCAGATGCCCCCTGCGGCGGCTGCCCCGACGGCCTCAGCATTTCTACGCTTTGTCTCAGCTGCACCATGACGGTCAAAGCCATGACATTCTCAGCAACTGTGTTCATGGCAGGAACACCAGCCAGGCCTCGCGGCCATCGCGCTTATTCACAGGGTTTAAAATCTTCCCAGAAACTCCATAACATATGTACCTCCCAGCAGATCTCTTATCACCTTGGCCAGAACTGGATCCTATGTCCACACTAAGCTGAAGGGTCCAGGGGGACACTGGGTTGGCCCGGCATCTCTCATGGTCACCCCTGGAGCCTGAGCATGTTGCCTTTGGAACAAAACGGAGAGTCTGACGAAAGAGGAGGGGCCAGTGGCTGCTGGGGAGGTGGCCCAGCAGCTGGCCCAGGGGCGCTCATTAGCATCTACTGTGGACTTTGGCCTCCAACACACGCTGGCCTAATTTCTCCGCTTCCCAGCTGTTAGCTATGTGATGCTGGGCAAGTTACTTAACATCTCTGCGCCTCAGTTTGATCACCTGTGAAATGAGCTAACTAATCCTATTGGTTTAGAATTGAATAGGATTTGTATAAAGTGTATAGTCTGTGCCTGGCGCACGGCACACCCTCTCCCCACACACAGCAAGTCCTGTGACCCACGGGGATTGGATGGCTTGGTTTTCTTCGAGAGAATTGCATGTTGGATTTGTGGGAAAAAACAAAACCTATGAAAACATGGAGACACTAAACATGAAAGGTGTCTGGGCTTCTCCGTCCCCCTTTTGTTTAAGGTGAAGGGAGCATGTGGCTGTTCAGCCTTTCCCGGGTCTGCAGTGGGTCAGGGAGAGGGCCATGCAGAAGCACAGCTCTCCTCACCTCGGGCCTTGTGGGTTCAGGGGCATAACCAGACGCTTGTCACCAGGAACACGACTAAGGCCACCCTGACCGTGCACATCACCGCCTCAGCCATCTGTGTCATTGACCCATGGTGGCTATTTCAGGGGGCATCTTCTAATTCCAAAATTAAGGGTGAAAAATATAGAACCCAAATCCACTCAATAAAAAACTGTTTTTGTGCCTCCCCTGCCCCCTCTACCCACTGGGCCGCTGGTCTGGCACAGCTGGTTAGGGGCCCGTGCCAGCAGCCCAGGGGGCCAGCTGCTGGTGGACCAAATCCTTGGGTCATGAGCCCGCCTCGGGCAGGTGCCCAGCAGCGCTCCTGCCCTAGAGAGGAGTTGGCAAGGGGAGGGATGGCGAGCTCCCAGCGTGACCTGGTGACCTGAGTTTCACGGCTCCATCCTTCCTGGCTGCAGGACCCAGAGAACCCTCTGGGCCCGTTTCCTAGTCTGTGAAAGGAGAACCGTGTAGGGCCTGCAGAGCCAGTGCTTTGGCTGAGGACCGAGTGAGTCACAGAACGACTTTGGTTAACAACTGCATGGTGGGCTTAGTAAGCAGACACGATGGTGACCGCCCGGAGACCTTGGGCTGATGACCATCCAAGACCCTTCATTTCTTGGCTGTCCATGGTGCCTGCCCAGATGCCCACGGCTCCCCACTGAGCACCAGGCCCCCTTCCTACCCACCCCGCCCCACACAGGGCAGAGGTAGCACGACCTTGACCTCTAGCTGACTGGCAGGGAGGCTTCAGGGTCAGTGTCTTCTTGCTTTACTGTGTTCTGGGCTGTCCCCTTAGGCCTTCGGACCAAATCTTCACTCCTTTTTCTAGTAAGATCTCCACCAGCCGCCTGAGAGGCCCCATGGCCCGTCACAGACACTCGGCCCTTCCTGTGTTTCAGGGCTCCAAGGTGCTGGCCAAGAAGGAGCTGGCCTACGTGCCCATCATCGGCTGGATGTGGTACTTCACGGAGATGGTCTTCTGCACACGCAAGTGGGAGCAGGACCGCAAGACCGTCTCCAGGAGCCTGCTGCACCTCCGCGATTACCCCGAGAAGTACTTTGTACGTAAGGCCCCAGAGCGGCTGCCACCCCTGCGCCCACCAGCCCCAGGCACCCACCTGAGCAGCCTGACCCGCCACACACCTGCCCGGCCGCCCGCCCACCCCACTGTGCACACATTGCTTCTGAACTTCCTGGTGCAGAAAGGAGTCCCCAGGATGCTCTCGTCACACTCACACTCAGGACCCTCGCCACACACACACACACACACACACACACACACACACACACACGGCAGCCAGAGGCGCTGCCCTGATGCTGGCCCCTGGGCCCACCCTAAGGGCAGCACGCCCAAAGGTTCCTGTGGGACCATGTGTGACTGAGGTGTATGGGGGGAGGGGGGACGGCGTGTGACATGTGACCGCCCGCCTGTCCCTTCCAGTTCCTGATTCACTGTGAGGGCACGCGGTTCACGGAGAAGAAGCACCAGATCAGCATGCAGGTGGCCCAGGCCAAGGGGCTGCCCAGCCTCAAGTACCACCTGCTGCCACGCACTAAGGGCTTCGCCGTCACCGTGAGGAGTTTGAGAAATGTAGGTAAGGACGACCCCAGCTCCCCAGCCTCCCCGCTGCAGCAAGGAAGCTGACCTGACCCCTGATATGCACAGCTTTGTCCCCGCAGCGCTTCCCAGCAGACTGGGACTAGGAGCTGGGAGGGGAACTGGGCACAAGGATGGCACGTGCACACCTGGTCAGCCAGGGTGCAGGCCCCTGGCGTCAGAGCTGTGGCTGCTGCCTGCACACACACCACACATCTCACATACCTTCACATTCTCTCTCTC